TGGGCAGTTAGACTGAAGGGACTTCTCCCGAGGCCACCTGGGTACGGACGGTACGTTGACCATGATACAACAATTCAGGGCCTAGTTTTTGTTAGTTCGACTGGATATTGATCCTGTTGTGTTGTGAACTATAGCCAGTTGAGATGAAGCCTTAGCCTTTATCAACCTAGTAGCCGGCATTGGTTGAGATTTTCTCTTTTTTCAGATTATTTGTAACGGTTTCGGGATGTTTCTTGATGTACAGGGGAGGCAGTCTAAATTTGCATGCTTTCTGGGTTAACATTAAACGTAGAATCTTCTTGCATTTTGATGGTGTTTCCCCGTGATATTTGCGATACGTCTTCGTAACCAAGAAAATAGACCTAGACTTGTGTGGAGCCCATTTTTTGCCTCTTAATATAGCTTAGAAAGCAGACTCAGATGCAAATCCCAGGGTTCTCTGACATAAAATTTTCCTCATGTATTACAGAAGCGAGCCTTGCTTTCGAGCCATTTAGTAAACTAATTAAAGGGTGACAACCTGGTATGAACAGTGCCTGGTAACTGTCTAATACGTCTTTGTATTTACGAACATTCTTTTAAGAATTCCGTCCCCTGAATTTCAATGGTGATTCATCATAAAGCAATGTATTTATTCGAAAACTTAAGAATATATCACCGTTTTATAACTTACTTTGGTGAAACATTGGCTTTAACATCTCTACCGTTCGCTACAATGCAACAGTGCTTGTTTCATGTTTCCGTGATTTGAGCTGAACTCGCATGCCCTTTATTCACATTTTCAGTTTATTTCGTAACTCTTTTGCCATTGTATCCAAGTGTGTATTGCGTTTAAACTTGAGCTTTCTGCGCATAAGCCATATCAGTGTAATTTCTTGGTACTATCTATTAAATATGGAGTAACCTGTCAAGTGACGCTAATTAACATTTATAGCTTTGTTAAAGGTATTCTATAAACAGACTTAATAATTTCTTCAGCATGTACGCAGCTTATGAGGAGCCGGTAGATTAAATGATGGTAATGTTGTGGTGACAGATGGCTGCTAGCCGAATTGGTAGACAGTAATTGACGTCAGTGTTTATGGCTCAAATATTAGTCATGTGAAAACAAGGTAAAAGATGGAGAGCAGACTTTACGTAGGTGGGTGCAATTAGCAGATAGATGATCTGACACTCAAGAAACAGCAACAAAGGGATGAAAGATTAACTTTTAGTGAGAAACAACCAATCAGAAAAATGTGTTTGTCAGCTAACAATTATTTATAATAATGTACACGAAACTCTATAAATATGTGTTGATCTCATTAATAACGATCTGTTGCCTGGCCCTTGTCTTCTGTTGTTACAATGTCAAATGCTGTATGAATCACTGTTTTCGCCTTATTCAAATGTTAAGTGGTCGTTCACATTGCGGGCATGACTTACAGCTGAGTACATTAAATCACGTAGCCCGAACATAGGTGCAACTCTGAAGTGGAAAACCAGTACGAAATTCATAAATTTTTCAGGAATTAAATAGGACATCATCCTACATTCAAATACACTACCCCATATGTTATAATTTCAGTCAGAATCTGATTCCTTTACTCATAGGATTTCTCAGGATTTCTAACATTACGACAACCTTTTGAGACTCAGATGTATTGCATCCAGAGAGATAACATTTGGAGTGTTGTACACTGTATATGTGACTTTTCTATCATACACATATGTTCAGTATACACTGCTTTTCCTGCATTTACACAGATGGTTTACACGAGTATGCACAAGTGTCACGAGTTTCAAGTCATGTGAATTCTTTTCACTTCCTTGTTTGTCAAGAGACCAGGTAGACTTGCATGTGGCTACCAACAACCTTCTGAGCTAATGTGGATCCTCAGAGTATGCCAGTTTGCTTCAGCTGCTTCAAAGACTAGATATGCGCCCGTGGGTGTTTCCACCATGTACTACATGCCTATAATTTTTACATGAGACACATTCTCAAGCATCCTCCTGCACGATAAATGCCTTCAGGCCTAGAGACACCTTTTGACGACTATTCCTAACAAAATCAACACAGTTCAAGACAAATAAAAACCAGAATCATGTCAAATGCAGCTACCTAGATCAAACGAAACAAATCAGCCAAACTCAAATCAACTAGACCGCGCAGATGTCCTCAAGGTAAAGCTGCAGGCGCCACTCCAAAGAGGGGATATGCCATATCAACGCCCCTATTCATTCGACACTTTACATGCCTGCGGGAAGGTCAACTTACAGACAGCGGTGGCACCATTAATTCCCTAGAAGACTAACTGCTTGTAATGCTATAAGGACTAAGCCCCACATTAACATGGTTACCAGTTTGTCTCTAGTTACGCCTACATCTGTTCTAAAACCAATTTAGGTGGATCAGATGGTGAGAATATATAATAACACTAAACCTCATAGCGGCAAATCTTTTATCTTTTTGAACAAATTGGGGACAAACATATATTCAGACTAAAAAGAACTCTTTTCAACAGCTTTGGGTCAACTGCCGACCGCCTCAAAATGACAAGTTATCATTAATGTAAGTGTTAACATACCAAGAAAATTAATTCAACTCTAAGGACATCATTGTGGAACAAGAGGTGTGAATACAAGACAGTTTCGTAGTAACCAAATTTTATTTATTCATTATGTGATGGAAAGTTAGAGTGGAGGGGATGGAGGTAAAAAGATACGGTAAGCAAGGGTAAAATGAATACGTAACGAGCATCTTAAAAAATCGTAAGATTATTAATAGGTTCAGCTCAGTTAGCTGTAATAAAGATTTGTGGCCTAATATAAAGCACAAAAACAGAAAATAAACGTGTAGTTACCAGGGTGGCTAGAGGGCAGGTTTACTATCCTTCTGTATAAAGAGCTTTTTCAACCTGCAAGTATGTGAGTTGGTGGCATAGTGGTTAGGACTGTCGCCGACCATGTACGTGGTCCGGAGTTCGATCCCCTGCCGATGCACATCCGATATCAATGGTCGGCCTGCTAAATTTGGACTACCGATATCAAATGCTGAAAATTCCATACTTGTACCAAAAATACGGTGTGGAATCAAGCTATAATCAAAATAAAAAAATAAAAATGTTTGTTCTCACTTCGTCCAAATCAATCAATGGGATTCCTCTGTAGGCTATTCTGTTTTCCACTAAAAAATTACTTCCAAACCATAACGCTGTTTGGGCAATTTAACAGTACCATCCAACAAATCGGCAGATAAGCAGTTGGAAGAATTTTTGACAATGCACGGCTTTTCACCTCCATAACGTCTGTTGTCCTCCCACAAGTAATCAACATTCTCGAATCAGATTAATGGATGCCGGTACAAAGTTTGAGCACTATTGCACAATCAATATTTTCATACCACAGGTCACTTTTGTTCACCCAACTTTACTTTATAGGTCCTCATACTATGCATTCGGCGGTAGTCAAATTGTGAATAGCTTCGTGGAGTGGTCAAAACAGATTAATAAGATTAAGCAGTGCAAATGAAAGCCTATTTTAATTGTTTTCTTCTGCTCAGATTAATAGGAATATTTCCATTTAATAAAATTTAGATGAATAAGTGATCGCTAAAACTTTCACAAGAATACGCGGCTCCGAAATAGTCCCCAGCATGGGTTTATCCTATATTTACCTAAACAGCATAAATAAGGACTCATTGGAAAACCTTCAATCTGGAGTTTAGTATTTGAGATTTAATATATCAGCTAATTCCTGTCGACACCTGTAGGAGCAATCTTGTATGGAGAATACAGTTGCCATTTTTATTTTCCAAATGACATTTAATGCGAAGTTACTGGTTGAGGTGGTTATTTTTACCAAATTTTAACCTTCGGATTGTCCAACATCTCACAATATTATTTTTTTTTGATTTTGATTTACAGCTTGATTCCATACCGTATTTTCAGTACAAGTATGGAATTTTCAGCATGGATATCGGTTGCCCAAATTCAGGCATACCATAGATATCGGGTGTGCGCCGGCAGGGGATCGAACCCCGGACCATGTGCATGGTCGGCGAGAGTCCTAACCACTGTGCCACCTTGTTTACTACCACGCACTCTGCTTCTGAAGTGAGTGAATTCTTCCAATAGCTACAGATACGAATGTCTCCGGATTTCCAAAGCGCGGAGAGCATTATTGCTTTTATCCCTTTGAAGAAGGCTATCCAATGGGCGGTTTATAGGAGTGTTTGCGTTGCAGCTGTCTGTAGTGATGCGTTCATTCGTTTGTCGATAGACAGCATGGTTGGGAGGTTCTTTAATGATCTGATATCCATAATTGTGGATATCAACAAAGATAATAGCTTTTATGACCATCAATATGAGGCTATTAAGATTGTCAAGGCAGAAACAGATGAACTTCACGATAGTTTACGTAAATTGAGCTGGTTTTACCATCACTTGAGGACAAAAATTCTTTTTCATAAAGTATCTTCTGCTCACACAGTGAATCATCGTGGAGTTCGGTATTTCTCACTGGGATACTTTAAATTCAAGATGCCCACTAGTTCAATGCAACGTAATTATGTTGAGTTCTTTAGATTATTGGAGAAAAATCCTCTACTTATTGCTGAATTGTTGCATTATTACAAATTAAACATTCAGATCTTAGAACATATCGCGCGTTCTGTTTGCTTGGTTACTTGCACTTATCCTCTGAACTCATGCAACCAATTGGTTCAACTCGCAATTGCTCACTATCTGCAGCAGTGCCTAAATGTTGTGAAATGTGCAGTTTACTCCAAGTCAGAGATTTTAAACTTAGTACATTTATTCATATTTTGTTCCACTGGGGTTCGGTCGTTTTTAAATTCACTTCTGCAAAACATAATCTTCAGGCTTACCAACAATGATCCATGCTTACCGTTTAATATTCTCGAATCCTCTCGAGAGAAAATGAAAACTAACACTGATTCCTCAGTTCCAAGTTTTTTTGCGATTCTTGTCAATATCATTATTGATAGTTTGACAGATAACATGCTACTGTTTCCTCAATCAGTTCTTGTTCTACTGGGCAATATACGTCATATTTGGTCTAATGCCAAATTACCACAAGAAAATATTTTGTGTGCCTGTGTACAATTTGTCTTCAAGGATTTCATTGGGTCTGCTTTTGGTGAGCCTGAACTATTCAATATCACCCTTGATGTTATTCCATTTCGCAGGATATTCCGGGTTCTAAAAGAAACAGTTGAAGTACGTTTCATTTGTTCATGCAAATTAGTGTGATATTTATTCTAGAGGCTTAAGAGTTGAAAGATTTTTAGTAAATATGGGTAAATGAGCTCATCGCAGGTGAATAAAGAGGCATTTTTTGCCTCTGTCTAATTAAAAATTTAAATAATTTTGAGATTCCCCATTATTGTAATCTTATCTAATAAATGAATGTCCAGGGTTAAAGGGTGTATGAAGATGCGTTTCATTGCGATATAGTCTATGCACTGAGTTGATTTCAGTCAAGGAAACATGAAAACTGGAAAAACTGGGACTTCGTTTTGTCACAGTCTGGAACTCCAATAGTGTGCATTAAATATCTCCTAAGAGACCATCTCAGTGCTCATAGATTATTATTAATTTTTCACGTGCTTTTGCGATCGTCTTCTCAGGCGTGTTATATATAGCCCCTAAATGAAGTAAGAAGACTAGATATTCGTGATACTTTATCTTAGCATTCTTTTCACAGTCAGACGCTACCAAAAACTGGACTAATAAAGGTGAATACTGTTGTTAAGCTAGAAAATGTGAGGGACGTCAAACAATAGTAGCTTTCTGTTTTGGAGTATATTTCAAAGCGATAATGTAGTCGGTACATCTTGCTCGAATCACACGCTATAGTTTTTCATTTTTCTGAAGTGTAATCAAGCATTTGATAACTATAGGACTCAAGATATATCAAAAGCGTGTTAGTTGAGCTTAAGTATCCTTTGTAATCCCAGACACATGTTTTAGCCTATGAATTGGAACAGTCACCGAACACTGACTTTTAGCGTAAGTGATCTTATTAGCGATTTTTGATCACCACAAGTGAGTGCTTTTGATCCTAATCTTGAGACAATCTGCTCAGCTGATGAGCTGTAAAACATGTTTATCCCATTAGGGTGAACAGTTAATGATCAGAAATGAGAGTGCAGTTTTGGGCTAGGTGATGTGTTGGTGTCTCGACAGTTTATTTGAAGCCTGCATTCCTAGTGGTGTGATTCCTTTCATCAAGTTTAATTGGCTACCGATCATTATACATATTTTTTTCATCCATTTCACTTCAGTCATTTCCTATCACTCCAGGTAGAGTTTCTAATCAAACCGAGAATACAGATTTTTGTTTCCCAGTGATTTTAAGCCCAATCAAAGTGGTTTGTCTACTGTCATTCTGTGGAAGTTTCGGAGATTCAGTGCATTTTGGTTTCTGCTTTCATTTTGCTAAATACCTTTAGGGCTGTTTCCATATTGATCCAGATATGCCAGCAAGTTGAAAATCCGTATCATGCTTTGGTATATCAGTCTAGTTTGTATTCAGTATGAGACATGGAGTTCTCATTATTAAACGCAATATGAAGGCTTTTCAGATATACAGTTTCACGCCTACTGAGGTGCAAATACATGTATATTTCCAATGTTTCATCCTATGGTAATCTACTTACGCCCCTGGCATTATCAGGCGTGTTCATATTGTGATTTCGGAGTGAAGCTAAAAGTAATACTCAATATCAATGATTCTTAGCTGTCTTTCTGCATCGACACTGTATCAAAGATTTTTACCAATGTGACTGTACAGAAATTTGCACGTTGACGACAAGAGCAGAAACTTCAAAAAAACCCATCGACCATGCTTTTCAGATTGCAGTAGCGAGATCATAGAGTGTGGTTGCTAATAATCATGTTGAAATATCCTGGTACCTGGTTATCTTTGCAAAAAATGGTCATCGTTATTTGATAGCGTCAGAAGAATTGTACTGAAAAAGCTCCGTATCCAGAAAGCGTTGACACTAGGCGAAATGCATACTTTGTAGAGGTTGATTATTTCAATATCACCTTTCTATAATAAGAATATCATTTTAAGAGCATTCGTCACTCTTGTTAAATCAACAACTTAATCTGAGTCAGTCATAAGCACGTATGTTTAAATATTCTGTTGCTTTTTATGACAAACTTCATTTAAGAAATAAAGACTACTGTACATCCCGCTAACTGTGCTCATGTGTTTCATGAGTCTTATTTGTATCGCAGCATTGGTTTTACACACCGTATGTGTTCATACATAAAAAAACATATTACTTAAAAGAACTAAAGCAGTAAAATTCCTATACAGGAACTGTCAACGTAGTAGGAGTAAGAAGTGATCCTTCTGATTATGGAAACGTCAGTTATCATGAAAATTTATGATGTGTCTGTTTCCTTTGAACCGTTTTATTTTATGAATTTGTCATAACTTATTTTTCAAGTTTTCAAAACATATTCTTGTATAATTCGATTTTATTTTATTGGATTTTAGATTTTTCCTTCATTACTTCTCGAGGGTGATAACTCTGTGTTATCCAATATTGTAGCTAGTCAAAAAAGCTCAACAAGTAAATGCGATGATTGTGCACAGATCAAAGTTGAACAGATAAAAACATTCACCAAGTTCATATTTGGTGCTGCTGATTCCATGTCCTTTTCAGGTAGTTTGCTAGGAGAGCAATCTGAGAATGTATCACTCAATAAGAATATTTCTCAGTTTGATGAGTTAAATGACGACATTTCAACGAGTTCATTCAATGATGGTGTCATTTCCGTAACTTCTAATGATTTGAATATTCTGGTAAGTAATTTACTACTACTAGAGAGTTTTTCTCCCACACTTCCCATCTGTTCACTGTTGGGTTTTAAGCTGTGTAATTTGTTTGTATCTCTCTGTAAACATCCTTAAGCTATTTCATATATCACGATTATGAAGTATTTACTGATGCTATACTGTTCACTACTATCATCGTATAATAGGTATGCATGAATTGCGGAAATCTGTGATTGCGAGCCTAATATATGTTTCAAATAACTTAAGATAGTTCTCATTGATTGAATTCCTACATTTTTGTGTGTGTATGTAGTATTTAAACAAGCTGTCAACTTAAATTTACCGCTTAGATTGAACTCACTATTTCCCTTCCAATTTACTTACCTACATAAAAATTTTCTTAAGGTCTCTCAGATTTTTACTGTATATGTTCCACGAGTACTTCACTCAGTGTTTGAATGTTTAGTTACGTTTAGTGAACCACGTGGAAATTCCCTATATTTCTCGTCATGGTGATGATTGGTATTACATTCTTTCTAACAGAGAATTTCACAAATACTTTTCTCAGTAGAATGATGATATATGTGGATTCAAAAAATGTGTTATTTCTAACTTTATTAGTCTTCTTATCACTACAGCATACTATATAATCGTTAGTAGAACACTTTTAGTAGACTTTTCATCATATCACGAAAGTTTTGATACTACAAAGCTTTAAGGAACAGGCTTTTAAATAAACAAATCTAGTCTAGTCCTCACATAGATGTAGTGCACCATTGCATCATTACATGTGTTTCGAAGAGTTCATCATTTTTCGGTAGGTTTGTGGAAAGGAAAAATAGAGATAGTTGAACCTCATTGCTTTAAATAAATCCAATTACTTCTAAGGTTTTTGCTTATATCTTACTTTCAGTTAAGGACATTGTGAACTTATAAAAATAACTTTCTGCATATGTTGTAACTCTTAGGTGAACTGATAATTCAAGGCTGATAAACTATTATGATAATTACTAGACAAATTAAGTTTAGACATTACTAGTCTTCGTAGTTCAATACCTCGATAGGCATTCTATTCTTTATTTGACTAGTGAGCTTCAGTTTCTCCTTCTTTTTTTGTTACTTGTATTCTTATACTAATTAATACCAGAGTTATTTATAGCATGCAGTTAAATATACAATGACGTTTCAATTTTGTTACTACTTAGTATTTTTTTTGAAGTGTTTTTTTTATTCATTATTCTAATTAATACTGAGTCGCTTGTGTAAAGAAGCAGAGAATAGGAAGGTGAATCACATGAATGGATTATTTTTATAGATGAAGTTTTTTTTTAAAAAAAGCACACTTATTTTGTCGTTGTTTTTTTTCAATGACCTTATTTGTATCCTTTAAGTATTGTCCAACTTCTTAATGTAGTTCTACTCGTTTCACTGCGAAGCTTATTATTCACTCTCTTGCCTGAATGCCTTTGTGTAGTATTTATTATTCCAGGTGTTAGAAAAGGACATCTACAGGAACCTGATAATCTAAGTTTCTTACTTCCTGTTACTCATCAGATGGCTGTATTTATATACAGTTTTCTAATTTAATTAAGTGCTAACTACACCTTTTACGCAGTATCACAGACTAACACGAAGGATTGCAATATTAGTAGTGTTGTGCTATTACAATAAGTGGAATTTAGACATTCCATCAAACGTTTAGTAGTAGTAGTAGTACTGCTGTAGTATTAGACGCATTGTGTGTAAATCCACAATTTAGTTAGTTTATATATTTATGAATCAAACTCAGATATACAGCATTAATAAAACTACATTTAGACATTGTCAGCTAAATAGGAACAACTAATAGAATTGGAATGATAAATCGGATTATAATGTGCACTTGTATACTAGAATAGAAGTCAAACAATCAAGCCCAAATGACTCTTTGTGTCACAAACACACTAAAAGGCTTATGAATGTAGGGATATTTACCAATTAGTACAACAATCCATATTCTCGCCATAGTGCAGACCCGAGTGATTCAGTAGTGATATCAAGCGTTGATATCAAGCTGTTCAGGCCATTCCTAGCCTTTTATAAGACGGAGTTACGCGATCACCAGATTGTAACCAACGTATTATTTGTCTATCCTTGAGTGTATTGATGGGAATCTGCCATTTATATTTGCATTGTAATCATCGACACTGTTTTGACCTGTGTGACACACTGTAGCTTAATACTCTAACTTGTATTAGCGTCTAGTGTCTCACATATATACCGAATTCAGATTTTGGGAAAGCGTTGTATCTCCTGCTGTATTTCACGCCGTTGGGGTCTAATTAGCATTCAATCAAAACATATTTTAAGTTTATAATCAAGTGAAAGTGTGAAAGTTTATAGTCACCTTATTTAGGTTAAAAGTTTCTTATCGTAGAGGCGATTATGCTTTTTGTAATCTTTACTCATGTTTTACTTGAGAGTAAATGCTCAACTTCGTTTCACCCATTTTTAATTAATTAACATGAATTGCTTATCATCCTGTGAATAATCTATAGAAAATCGTGAACTAAGTGAGAGTAGTAAAGTTTCTGACTTCAGCATTGAAACCCAGGTTCTTATTTTCAAGTGAACACGGATTTCTTCACGGTTGAGGATGCAGTTTGCTGTTGAGTGCAGACACCCAATGAGCTTAAGTTCAGGGCTTCTTGTCTACTATAACCTAACGTCTGCTCCCGAAAAAAGTTGTTCTTTGAGAGAGACATCCTTTGATTGAGCTAAACTTTCATCAGTTTGTTTAAAGATTTGTATACTCCCTTTCATGGACCAGTAATATGGTGAACCTATCTCGTTAGTGGATCATTTTTATTCTTGATATTTGAAACCTAAGGTTTTTGTGACTGAATATAATTTCTGACAATACAAACTAGCAGTAACCACTTAAATTTAAAGTATTTAAGTTAATTTTGTGTTTACCGTTCATAGTCTATATTGGACCGGAATGTTTGGTCCCCGTTAACATGTAGGTTCCTAGTACGGATACTTCGACGATGTTTGAGGATTGACATGATGTCAATTGAGACCCAGCGTTTTGGTCCAAAGTAACCAATTAAGGGGGAATGCAAAATTAACTAAAAGCCATCACACCACAAGTGGTTCTCATGTCCCAAATGACCTCGTAGATTATCCTATGGCATTTGAAACTATGGGTGCTAGGTTCGAATCTCAGTGGAACAACGTCACTCAGTGAGTTGACGAGTCTCGAATAAGGCGGACTGTGCACCCTGGATTCCACTGCCCGTCACCAATCAATCAAAAAACATTTAAGAAGTGTTTTTGATGGTAATGAGGAAAACAGACCTATAAAGAGTAGAATCAATGTTTATTAGGAGAAAAACTACAGTGGACACTGATAAAATAATAAATTTTTCGTTTATTGCACTATTTGCAAACAATATCAAGCATTCTGTTCTGGGGATGTTTTGTTCTTCATTGTCTGTCCTATATTAGGTTCTCTTCATAATCCTTACTCTATCTTGTGTTTCTTCTATGGAAGCTCTTCTAGTTACATATAGGTTTTTTTCAACAGACGTCGCACTATGTGCCACTTATTATTATTATTATTATAACCAACACTACAGTAGTTTGGAAGTGTCTACTGTAAAAATTAATATACGAACTTATTAAACAAAGGTGTCAGGGAAATGAGTAATATCTGAGAGCAAGTGACCATCTTGGATCAGTAGATTTGTAAAAAATATCTACTTGGGTTACAGATAGCTAGTTTGTGGTTATAACTGAAAATGTAAGTACCCATAACAACTAAAACGCTGTACATCGTGGATTAGGTAGCTAGTTAACACAGATTCGAATATTATTTAGATTGAGATTCATTTGTGAAATGTATTTCGATAACTGTTGAATGGAGTCATTCTTTCAACTGTTACAAGTAGAGAGAATTAATAGCACAGTGTTATTTACATATATTATTTACTCTCTAAAGTGTCCGTTTCACTGACATGTTCTTTTCATTTTTTCTGATTACTTTTTCATTATAGATTGGTTGTATTCGTATTCTTTTGAAAACAAAACCGAATTCTGATCCACTTCTTAAATTGGTCGATCGTTTACCCTCTCAAGTACCTGGTGCTACGATTGGAGTGAAACAGTCTTTTGATAATACTTTGAAGGCATCAGATTCAGGTAGTTTTTTCTCCATGTTACTTTTTTTAAAAGTTCATTTTAACTACAAAAATGCAGTTTGTCATATTTTTGTGATATATATATTTCATAGTTTCAAGTGTAACACAGTATTATGTGCTTAATAAACGGAAGTAACAAAAATCAGGTCGTTCTGTACAGTACCTGAGTGATTTAATCACCTGCTGTCTAAGCCCCTAAGAAGTAAACTTGAAGTAGGTAGAGATTACTAACTTAGTACGTGAGAAATTTCCATATAACTTTCCAAGTTATCATACTTCACAAAACAACAGAAAAAAAGTGAGTAATGTCAAGTCAGTTCTTGTATATTCTTCAGGGACTTGGTGCATCACAAAAAGCATTTTCAACAGCTTACTGAAGACTTTTGTCAACAGCTGCCTTCGCTCCATACTGAAAGTATTATCAGTAAGGAACTCTGGGGATGAATTAACCAACACCCTATTGCCCAACAAATATGCTGAGGCAAATGGAGATGGATTAAATGCACACGGAGGAGACCGTTGAGTGAGGTCACGCATCAGGCCCTCAAGTGGAAGCCGATTGCAGACAACGAGTTGGCTGTGTAACGGTGACGTGCAAAGGGTCACTGCTTGTGGGTAATCGTTGAGCCAACTAAAGAGGACTGCAGAGAACAAAATCAAATAGTGATATACTGTTGAAACCCTGTGTTACACTCGGAACACAAGAAAGTAATAATCAATAATAAAATAATCCAAAGAAACCTTTTTAACCGTGGAGAAGACAAAGTAGAGAGTTCGGTGGGATTGCACTTTTTGAATAAATATAGACACACAGAGTTGTAGCATCTGTAGCCTCAGTTTCGCTTGTATTACGGTTACTTACTAAGCACACAGATGAATTGACTTGTCTGAGCTTTGAGCAGTGGTGATTCAGAGCACAACGTACACACTGCTACAAACGAAACTTAATGGTGCCTTAGCCACGGAATAAGAAGTATATATTCTGATTACTGCATAGACGAAGAAATGTGTGAACTGAAACCTACATTGCAAGCAAACAGAGATCCGGAGAACTTATAAACTAAGTTAATGTAGAGATCTAGAGACGGAATAATAATGGATAAAGTAAATCAAAAAAATATTATATGTCAGATTGTGCGTCGGCGATTCAGCAGTAGAATACTTGCCAACCACCCATGTAGTCCGGGGTTTGACCCCCGGCTGCCAACGCAATCTTAAACTTCGCTTAGCTGGTAGTATGTTCGATGGGGAGAGGGAAGGTTGGGTGTGAGGCTAGCATCTCTGGCTCGTAAAAAATAAATATCACTGCTACGAAAACTTCAAAGCTCAAGCTTGAAACCCTGTGTTCCATTTGGGACATAAAGGAATAAAATGAAAAAAGTGAATGTGTCAGACTAAGGTTCCTTGGGGACGTTGCAGCCAACATCCTAGAATGTCAACTAAACAGACCGGTCTAGAGAACATCATCTTTTTCTTTCGAGTAAAACATAGGGATTCAAGCTTTGAAGTTTCATTAGCAGGGGCATTATTTTTTTACGGAGTGAGTTGCTGGCATCACGCCCATTCTTACTTTTTTTTCCTGTCTTACTACCGGATAGTAAAGTAGGTAAGGTTTAGGCATGCGTTGTTCGAGAATCGGACCCTAACTTCCTGTGTGGATGGCGATCACCTTGTCACTGGACTACCAGCGCATTCTTGATGGAGGTAGGTTATGAACCCACGCCCTTTCAAGCAAATCATTACTACCTCAGTCAGTCAAAAATGAATTGCCGGCGATGACGGCCTCATCAATTTGCATTTGACTTCAGCTCCTTTTGTGAAGCTAGTTGCACAGGCCGTATTCATAAGGCTTTATCTGTGCCCCCGCGTAAACATGTACCAATATGATTGGTTGAAGAAGTAACTAGCACAGTGTTATCTCACTTGGTGGATGGATAGTGGGCATTAAATTAAACCATAACGGGTGTTTTTAGTAATTTACCAGAATCCTAGTTACCTATCAGGAGAAATTCGATCACTTCTATCGGTAGCTAAAGTTGTAGTAATCAATACCAGAAGGCTAATTACTTTGTTTACCTCGGCTCGCAGTAAGGTCAATATAGCCTCACTGAATATATTCATAATTAACACATTAAATTCCTGTCTCGTTTTTTATCTCTTCTCTTGGTTTACTGACAAACATTTATTGCAGACGTTCACAATTTCATGACCTTTCTTATTTAGTCTATTACCGTTAGTTATTTGCTTAGGTTTACGTAATACTTTTCACATTCATTATTGTATGCATATAGTCCTTTTCTTTCTAGCATATAAAATTCTAATCGTTCGCTATAATCATCACTTTGTTTGTACCACACTATTATTATTTTACTGTGATCTTTATTTGTCATCTTTTGAAATTACTTGCAGTAAGCTGCACTTGTGTTGTTCATACTTTCTCCGATACTACTACTGATTACAATTCACTTCTTGAAACTTATAATTCTATTGATCGTAAATCCACAAACACACTATTGAATTATTTAATGTCATAATCTTATCGACCATACATTTTTATAAGTAGTTAAACGATAATCGAAGCTATCTTGTGTGTGCGTGTATGTGGCTATTAGTCTGGTAAATGAAAAATCTAATCCAGATAATTAAGCACTAGACACTTGTTCCATTCCAATTTGGGAATCTTCAGCAGTAAGTCTTCACGACCCTATCGGAGATCGAACCTAGGAGCTTCAGGTTATGAGGCCAAGCACGTTGACCACTCAGCTATTTGGGCTGGAATCCACTTGTCTTGTCTTAATTGAGTCTCTGTTTTCATATTTCTAGCACACATCAGTATTTTTTATGTGAATTGTTGTAAATTACAAAAGGAATGTTTGATTGGAAGTTGGTATCTCTGCATAGCCAGATCATGTATATCTTATCTCCAACGTACCATTTGCACAGATCTTCGTGTTGTGGTACTTCTGAACCTAGTCTTGTGTTTCTTTGTGTTCCTTTCATGTCTCCCATGTATCTCCACAACCATGTATCATTTGCCTTCTCTGAAATCAAATGTACATCCTTGCTATTTAATGATGTTTTTATGCCGATGAACGTCCGTTTACATACTACTGATAAATCTTACCAGTAGCACTCGTTACAATATGGCATCAAAATCACTGTCCAGTGGTCGACAGTAGAATATCTGTCTGTCACTAAATAATATCCTTGGTCCTTTCGAATGATACATATGACACGGTTCGGGGTTTTAAATTCACATATTTCTCTCGATTACTGCATTTCTCTATATGAATTGAAAAGTGTGCTTTACTAGAGAAAAACTGAACATTCTTTTCTCTAAAATGTTTACTACTGCTTAAACTGTTGCTTTTATGTATTGGGTGATGATTGATGGGGTTTTTAAACTGGATAATATTCCAGTCGTTCCTAGTGTATTCTATGGTTTTCAGAGTATGTATGTACGTTTAGGTAACGTGAGCAAATAATGTAGTAACAGCCTACACTACAAATATTCTTATATTTCAATGAAATAATCTATTCATTAGTTTGGTTTAAAAGTTGTAAAACTTTGTCATCTATTGTTGGCAGCGAAGCGGTTACGCCCCCCAAATAGATCAAGACACTTAGTCCCTATTTAAAGAAGAAATAACGAAACGAGTATCTGAGGTCGACCGCAAGATTCCTCCCGAGGAAATTTGACACAGTATACACTTAGCTATAGACACAGTTGTAAAGGCTGTTAATAAGCTGAAGCCAAAAGTTAGTAAGAGCCAGTGGATTTTTACCACTTCATCTGAACTGATTAAGGCAAGAAAACTGATTCCAGTGAGCTCCGAATATGATGAGGAGCGAAAGCTGCTCAAACGCAAACTAACAAGAAGTCTTCTCAATGGTCATGAACACTGGTGGGCGACAAAAGCGAAAGAGATGGAAAAGGCATCGGCTATTGGCAACACCAGACAACTATTCAGGCTTATCAGGGAAACAGGTGGCAAAAGGCAAATGATAAGTGAAACAATCTCGGAGAAAAATGGCACCATAATTAGCTCCCAGGGTAGACGACTGGAACGCTGGAAAGAACACTATGAGGAGCAATTTAATTGGCCTGCAGCCACACTTAACCTGCCGAGCATCCAACACCTCCCTAAATGGGATATAGGCACAGGTCCTCCGTCCCTAACTGAGGTTACTAAGGGCGTCACTAGTCTGAAACGAGGCAAAGCAGCGGGACCTTACAGAATCGCTCCAGAGGTGCTTAAGGACAGTGGGGACAGTTTACTGTCTGCGTTAACTAAGGTGTTAGGTAGCGTCTGGGGATCAGAGGAAATCGCGTCGGGTTGGTGTAAGTCATTGATTATCCCGATATACAAAAAGGGAAACAGGTCTTCCTGTGATAATCACAGGGTTTAGCTCCACTGATATGGTATCTAAAGTTCTAGGCTCAATAATCATGCGTACACTAAGCGATCCACGGGAGAAACAAACTCGAGAGAACCAGACAGGTTTCAGACAAGGAAGAAGGTGTATTGATCATATCTTCACCTTTCGACAGATTCTGGAACATAGACATACCTACCGTCGTTGTCCAACAATCGTCATATATCTTGGCCCGAAAGCGGAATTCGATTCCGTTGACCGAGAGGTACTATGGCGATGCTAAGCTGTAAAGGGAATGCCGAGAAAATACATCCCACTGATCAATGCACTCTGCTCACACTCATGCAGTCAGTCAATAAGGTGAGAACCTACGGAAAGTTGTCATCTGAAGTTGTGACAATCAGTGGTATCCATCAGGGGGGCGATGCCCACTGTCTCTATTTCTGTTCAATCTCATCAGAGATGTACAAATGGAATTAACCCTAACTGCTGACTTCTTCGACTCAGGGATTGACTTGTTGCCACCAGAGAATAATCTTGTTGATATAGAATATGCAGGTGACTTGGTCCTTCTAGGTGAAGACGCTGACAAAATCTAGCAGAGTCATCTGAACACCTTAAACGTTTGGCATGCGATTTTCTCCTAGTAGAATGGAATATGATGCTATCGGACTGGACTACATTGATTCCTAGCTTAAGGATAGGCAGGAGTGAAGTAGTAGATTATGTTGACCACTTCACTTAATTGGGAAGTTGCATCAGCCAACGCCAGCAGTTTGATCGCTGACGAAATCTCAGATCGGATACAGAAGGCTCTTTAGACATGTGCCAACTTATTCCATCTCTCATGTAGACGTGAAATCCGGCTGGCTATCGATCAAAGGGTGTGTGTACTGCTCAGCAATCCGCTCCGTCCCCTTTTATCGCTGTGAGGCATGGTTATTGAACGTGGGAGACATGAAAAAACCGGCCACATGTCTTTTATAGTAGGTGTGTGCGTTCTATCTCCTATGTTAATTCATATAACAAGGTGAGTAATATTGATGTTATGCTTCGGTCGAGTGCTAGTTAAGGAGAAGAAATCAATAGACGGGGTGAAGTTACACCGGCTGAGATGGTTGGGATATGTGTTAAGCATGTCTAGCCGTCACCTTCCCCGACAGTCAGTGTTGTTGACACGGGACATAGGATCAGGTTGGAAAAGGGGTGCTGGTGGTCAAGTTAAAACATGGCTTTATCAGTCAATGAAATCCACAACAGTTAGTTTAAGCCAACCAGTCAGGTCGGGAGGTGTAGACTTCCTCGTTGGGGGTCTTCAGGGTGGTAAGAACCAATGAAGGCTGGAGATATTTGGTGATATGGCTCAAACTCATCGTTCGCAATGACTAGCGCAGATTCACTATATAGAAATCTACTTGTCTTCCATATTACTATTCTCTTTGCCTGATATATGTGTTTATTATCTCTTATGAATCTTGCTTTGCGTGATAAAAGGAGGGAGGGAGGGTGTGGCAACTCAAACTGGTGCACATCTATGCGAAGCGCTATGTTGAAACCAATCAGTCAGTTTTCACTTATTCATCCATTTTGCTTCTACTACGAAATAATGATTACATATGTATGTATATGTATATATTTCAGATATGAATACAATATCTGCGGTGTTGGTTGATATATCAGAAAATAATATAGCTAAAACAATAACTCGTGAAATTAGTCGATCAAATAGCAAGGCACCATCATCATTATCACCACAAAGACAACGTAGTCGTTCATTGAATCGTCTATTCACCATGAAGCATAAATCTGTTAGTCATACTGAAGAAATACATACACTGAATAATAATGTCGCTGTTGCTCCTGTTGCTGCTGCTACTGTTACTACTACTCCTACTACTAGTGGACAAAGTTCTATCCATCGAAGAAAAGATATGCGGTCTAGTAATAGCGAGAATTCAGAAATTGTTTATTTATTCGATTTAAATACTACATATCATGATAATAATAGTCATAATGACCATGATAGTTTACTTCCTGACGCTGCAATGAATAGAAAATGGAGATTTGTGGTTAACGCGAATAAAAATGAACATGATCATGAAAAATTGAATAATTCTGTTGTCGAAGCGACTTGTTCATATAATGGTGATAGTGTTCCAATGAATCACAATTATTCAAATGTAATTATAAAAAGTCAACTGAATGGCATTAGTCCTGGCGATTGTAGTTTCGAGGGTGCTTGTGCTGGTGGTAGTGGTAGTGTGATCAGTGGCACTGATGAATCGATGAGTAGATCAAGCTGTGAACATCATCATCATCATCATTCCATCGATGAAAGTCATACAACAGCAAAGGTCACGTAAGTTATTCTTTTATTATTATGTAAATATTTTAAACACAAACATGGTACATTGTGGGCACTAGGAGATTTGCCTTACAAATAAAACCGAGATGATGCCCGGGCGCCTATACCGAGGCCGTTGGTTATCTTTTAATGGACCACTTCGGAGCCTTCGACTCAAAGTCCGATCCATAAGACAGTACAGCTACATTCCCATTGTTTCCGGTGGCTAAAAGAGGTTCATACGCCATCCGATTTGTTTGGATTATGGCGCCTATATACACCATAAGTTTGCAATAAGTTTTTCAGCTCCCCTAGGTAGACGTGGATGTCTTCCAGTCCGGTTGTAAGCGCCAGACGTTCGAATTCTACCTTTCACTTTTGTGAGGAACACACACAGTATATGGAGGCGGTGAATAAGGCTTACTTGGCAAAAGCTATGAACGCGTGGCGACATGAGAGTATTTCAAGAGGAAGAGAGGACAATTCTGTTCTTATAAAGTGCAAAATAAGAATTAAAAAAGCTACTGGAAAATCTGTCTTTGCATTTCATCTTGTGAATGAAATGAAGTGACCAATTGTACAACTGCCTTCGTTGCACACTGAAAATCAAATGGCCAGAAGGAAGCACAGACCTATCGCTCGACAAATATGCTGATGGACATGGAGATCGATTGAACAAAACTGCTTAGCGATATCATGCGCCATACCGTTGAGTGGAACCCGAGCTGGCGTTGTCCCGAGGGTTACATGTGGAGAATCATGTGAGGAAGAAATGAAAGCTTATGGGCGATGAAAACCAGATGAAAAAAGATTGAATAGGACCAAGTGAAATGGAGATATGGTTTTGAAGCCCTATGTTCCACTGGAACCAAAGGAAATAGTAATAACAATAATAACATGCCCTGGATGAAAAACTTCGACCGGAACAGGCTGGATTCAGGAGAAACAAGTCATGCATTGATCAGATCGCCACATTACGGATCATCATTGAACAAAGCCTGGAATGGCAGTCACCTCTCTATCTCAACTTCATCGACTTTGAAAAGGCCTTCGACAGCGTCGATCGAGAGGTGATTTGGAAACTACTTCGCTACTACGGGGTGCCACCGACAATAATACATCTCATCCAACAGCTATACGACAATGCTGCATGCCAAGTAATCCACAACGGGAAACTTACGGAACCCTTCAAAGTGAGGACAGGAGTAAGACAAGGCTGCCTATTATCGCCAATGATTTTCCTGATTGCAGTAGACTGGATAATGTGACAAACAGCGGGCAATGAGGAGACAGGCATAAAATGGACACACACAAAAAACTTGGAGGATCTGGACTTCGCCGATGATATATGTCTGATTTCCAACAAACTGGAAGATATGCAAGTGAAAAGTAACAAGTTGGCAGAAGAGTCATCCAGAGAAGATAGGCCTTCAGGTGAACATAGAGAAAACAGAGGTGATGAAGATTCCTGGACAAGAACAACAACAGACAACGATCAGCATAAATGGGAGGAACCTGAAAGAAACAACCTCCTTCAACTACCTACCTGGGAAGCATTGTTTCAAATACAGGCGGAACTGACGAGGATATCAAAGCGAGGATCGAGAAAGCAAGACAAGCTTTCACTACTCTCAAGTCTGTGTGGAGGTCAACAGCACTCAACATCAAAAATAAGATCCGGATTTTCAACTCCAATGTGAAGTCAGTGCTACTATACGGATCAGAGACTTGGCCAACGCGTCATAAAGAGCATCTCAAACAAACTACAGACCTTCATTAACAGTTGTCTTCGCTCAATACTCAAGATCAGATGGCCAGAAAAGATCAGCAACAGGGATCTCTGGGAGCGAACCAAACAAGGAACCGATTGTGAAACAAATAGGCAGGAAGAAATGGAGATGGATTGGCCATACTCTGAGGAAACCATCAAGTGACATCACTAGACAAGCCATTGCTCGAGTGGAACCCGAAGGGGAAGTGGCGAGTTGGTCGTCAGTGCAAGGGTGACTTGGAGGAGGTCATGTGAAGAGGAGATGAAAGCGTGTGGGCAGACATAGAGTCAGGTGAAGACTCTAGCAGAGAACCGAACGCATTGGAGACGCACGGCTGAAGCCCTATGTTCTTTTAGGAATTAAAGAAACAATAATAATGTGCTAATAATTGTACCTGGTGACTAATTTCGAATCATGTCTTGTATACCAAGCGTCTTCTTCATAAAAAGTGATATTAAATGTTTGAAAGCACTTAATCTCATATGTTTTATTTGGCGTAAATCATTCCTTTTGCTAACCTAATGTATGCGTTGAAACTGTCAAACGTCACAGCAACACAAAAACATTAAAGACCAGAAAGGAAATAATATTTTAGCCAATATAAAGTTGCAATAAAGTACAATAAAGTTAAAATTACAGAACTCTGAATGGGATAAATAAGTCGTCAATGACGTTTGTGAACTACTTGCCTTTTGCGGAAGCCTTCTGCCACACAGTTCAGACAAACAACCAAAGTCTTCATCAAGTATTGGGATGTCTTTTTTTGAATAGCCTATAATTTCCCTTCAGAATTGTTCCTGTGTAGTGTACCCTATTGTGACGAATGAGTACTACACCCCTATGCAAGTTTACAGTTTCTCTGTACTCCTAACCTTAATTTGTTTCACTGTATCGTTTTATCACCCTTGAGCAATATTTTGGAGAAATACGATTCGAGACCTATAACTTCTATATCTTCAGCTTTTATGTATTGCAACTATGAGATATTATCAATTGAGTAAAATCTGAAGCTGTAATAAGAAAGGTTTCTAGTCATACGTAATTTTGATCCCACTTGCTGCTAAATACTATTAGTTGTTAGTGAAGTTTTACGACATACTATTTAATTTTATGATTGTTCTTCTGTTATTCATGAAGCCATTTCTATCAGAGTTCATTTTTGTAATATTAGGATCACGCTAATTTCTACATCGTTTTCCATTTCGATCTTTTTTAAAATTTTAGTGCTAGCAGTGAACAACAACATAGCGTTTTTGAATCTCCGTGTCCTGCATTGGTAAACACCACCGGTGGCTTAAACAATGACAACCATTCAAAGAATGACTTTTCACAAGATCATTTTCTAACTAGTCAAAGGTCTAGTGACGAAACTACTTCTCAAAACTCTGATCCCAGTGGATGTACCAGTTTAGCTAGTAGTGCTAATGCTTTTGGGCGACAACATCTTGAAACAGCAACATCTGTCAGTGAATCATTACACAATAAAAATCTAGGTGACATACAATTGAATCAAGGCTTTTCTCACTTTACTTCAGCGTCTGGTCCTTCAATCAATTCCTCTTCACATATTTCTTCATCTTCACCGCCAACTTCTCCAAAACAAGATTTCTGTGATTCCTTGAGTGGAAATATCAATGATCGTACTACACAATATGTGGCAAGTAGCTCAATTTCTCGTGGGATTGAAAAGCGTACTAGATTTTCTATTTCAGTCCTGCCTAGTAACTCAGGTAATGTATTTCCCTTTAATACTATATACTTGTCTCATAGTTTTTCATTTTTTTAACATTACCTATTACCATGATGCTTTTATCTTACTTGTAAACAGCTCATAAGTCCGATGGGCATTCCTCTGTGGCGTATCATATTACAATGACGTTCGCCTTGAAATCTAGTGGGAGCTTATTCATTGTAGGGGAGAATATTACGCTATGCCATATTTGAGTTCGTAGTTAGATATTTGCATAGATGTAGTCTATTATTTCGACACTTAAATAACTGTTAAGTGGTTGGGGCAATCGATACGAGGCTTTGGTCTTGAGTTTCTTGCTAGGCAAGGCATATCTGCACCTTCAAGGGGGCTGATACCCCCTGTGAGATTTGAACTCATGTTACCCAGTATTGGAGTCAGAGACGTTACAACTCAGCTCTTCTAGCTCACGATTCACCCTCTGTAGGACGGTGATACTCACATTGATTACTGTGAATGTGACTCATTTGCTTAAACACTCAACTTTCAGCTAATAAGTCCTCGATTCAAATCCCGCAGCACCTACTTCAGCTTGGGCAACTGACTAGTGTCACACTGTAAGTGTAGCTCATAATCTAGAATACGATAAATCTCTTCTGATTGGTCACTAGAGAATAACCAATAAGCTTACTCAATTAACTGTTGAAAGCTGCAGCTTATTTATTTTGTCTTTGGACTGACTGTTAATAAGGATAATAGGTGTGAAAGTGTCTACTCTAGTCTTTGTTTGGTTATTTCAAAAGTGTCAATATTAATAGGTGTCATAGGTGTTTCAATATAGCCTAGTTAGCAAATGTGAATTTAGTCAATATCCTGTGTATTATTAAGTGTAATTGTTGAGAAACTATTCATGTGTACTTCAGATAAGTGTCTATTGTTATTCACATAATATATATTTCCTAATGCGCAGATATTTTCATCATTTAAGTATCACTGCATTATGTTACCGGTGTTGTCTGATTTAATAGTATATAATGCGATTCTCCTAGTAGTACAACCGCTGCACAATTCCTGTTCTGTGCTGGTTGGTGTATGGTGTTTAGAATGACCAACAAATGTCAAGATCTTATCTTCAGTCGGTGGCACAGCGGTTAGGACGCTCGCCGACCATGCACATGGTCCGGGGTTCGATCCCCGGCCGACACACACCTGATATCAATGGTCGGCCTTCTAAATATGGGCTACTGATATCAAACGCTGAAAATTCCATAATTGTACCAAGATACTGAGTGGAATCAAGCTATGATAAAAGTAAACAGAATGGTATCTGGACTAATCTGGCAATAATTTTTCACTTTTTCGAATTGAATTCATAGATGTCATCACTTGTGTCTCTGATATATACTGTGGCAACACAGTCATCCTACAGACAGTGCTTGTTCTATTTTAACTGTGTTCTCTAGAAATGATTAGAGGAAATATTCATTAGTTTAACTTTAGTTTTCATTGTATCTCTACATGCTGCTCCTTTTGTTTTCATTATTTACGTTCCAAATGGGACATAGTACTTCAAGCTTTTATAAGCTTTGAAGTTTCAGCAGTGATGATGTTCTTATTAGGGTTGCTAACTTTACCCAACCCTAAGTCTTTTTTAAGGTTAACCATCGGTGAGTAAACTAGTCGACGTTTAGGGCGGGGGGGGGGGGGGGAAATCGAACGTCGATCATAAGGCTGGTTAGCGAACATTCTACCATTAAAGCCATCGACACACATGTTATTCATTTACTAATGTCTAACACTGTTCTGATTACTATAATTTTTTGCACCAATCGATCTAACAAAATATCAACATATTAAGTCTATTAAAACTTGATTTGCGAAACATGCCATCGAAAAGTACGAGCCAGAAGTTTATGAAGTCGCCTGGTAGATACTATGAGCAAATTAATACCAAGTATTGTGATACAAAGTTAATCTATCATAGATTGGTAATTACCTTCCAAAATGTATCAGTCTTTTCGTTTACATTTCACATGAGCACTTTGATTTGAAACTAGACTTCTATGATACAGTTAAAATAAGTAAGGTGTTAACACGCTCTACCACTTCACTCCTGCTTATCCTTAAGCTAGGAGTCAATGTAGTCCAGTCCGATAGCATCATATTCCATTCTACTAGAAGAAAATCGCATGCCAAACATTCAAGGCGTTCAGAAGACTCTGAATTCTGTCCGCTTCTTCACCTAGAAGAACTATGTCACCTGCGTATTCTATATCAACAAGATTATTCCCTAGTGGTAACAAGTCAATACCAGAGTCGAGGAAGTCAACAGTTAGGGTTAATTCCATTTGTACATCTCTGATGAGATTGAACAGAAGTGGGGACAGTGGGCATCCCCCCCCCTGACGGACACCACCGGTTGTCACAACTTCAGATGACAACCCTACGTAGGCTCTCACGTGGCTGACTGACTTCATGAGTGTGAGTAGAGTGCCTTGATCAGTTTGATGTATTTTCTCGGCACTCCGTTCACTGCCAGACATCGTCATAGTACCTGTCAGTCGACGGGATCGAATTCCGCCTTCAGGTCAGGGAATATGATGATTGTTGGACACCGACGGTAAGTATGCCGATGTTCCAGAATCTTTCGAAGGGTGAAGATATGATCAGTACATACTCTTCCTGGTCTGAAACCTGTTTGGTTTTCTCGTGTTTGTTTCTCCCGTGGATCGCTTAGTGTACACATGATTATTGATTCTAGAACTTTAGATACCATATCAGTGCAGCGAAACCCATGTGATAGTCACAGGAAGACTTGTCTCCCTTCTTGTATATCGGGGTAATCAACGACTCACAGCAATCTCACGGGAATAATATATGCAGATGAATATGCGTATGGCAACCTGAAGTAATCCTGTTACTAAGAGCTTTTGGAGTTTAAGATGTACCTGTTTACTGTTAATGGTTTTATCGTATATTAATGGTTTAGATGAAATATCAAATATTTGATTTGTGGATATTAAATTTATCAACCACTACTTTATCAAAGGTTAGGTTGAGCTGTGGCTCATCGATTTCGGTGCTCGACTTCAAACCACTGAGTCATGGGTTCGAACCTAGCTCCATTTCCAGATGTTTAGTCAGCCAGATAGTGTCACAAGCCACCACACAATAAGTGTGGCTTATTGCCAACTGCATGGAATTGCAAGTGTTGATATAATATATTTGTTATCCGAGACCGTGAAGATTATTCATCAGGTAGATATTTAGTGGCTTATTCGCATACCATCTACATATAACATTATCTGAATTTTCTTTTCCCCTTTACAGAAGTACGAGAATTTGGAAATGCTACATTTACACCCAACCGTTCGTTTCTAATGCAGTCTAAAGTGCCACAAACAAGATATAGTAATAGTGAACCCACTGCTTCATCATCAGTTGTCAGATGTAGTTCAGTTGATTTATGTCAATCTGATTTGATCAACCGTTTAGATCGTTCATCCAATGAAACAACAAGTAAATGTGATCCTGTTGAAAAATCTCATTTAGGCTTTGTTTCTGAGATACCTGTATCGAGTACTCTTAAGCATAATAATAAAAAGACAGCAGTTCAACTTCGTTGTTCATCTCTTACATCTTTATGTGGAACTACTAGCAATACTTCACTGCCAATACACCGTCTACACCGACACTCAAGGAAGCTTGGTGCAAGCACTTCGAATCAGGATATTGAAGGTCCAGGTAAGTTCCTGGAGCTGATATGTTTAGCTGTATACGTAAAATGACCGTTTATAAAGGGAGCATTTTGCTGTCGCTATTTTTGGGAATCCTCTGACTTTACACCATTCCCATATGTCAGGTAGTGGATTTTCTGATTCACTGTTGAGCGGTAGTTATTTGACAAACAATTAGTTAGCTCCGAGGACTCTGACAAAATGCAGAGTCTACTGAACACCTTAAGCAACAATCTTCGTATGTTTGACATGCGATTCGCCCCTGTAAAATGTAAGATGATGCTGCAGGATTGGACTTCACCGTCCCCTAGATTAGAAATAGGAAGTGAAGTGGTAGAACACGTTGACCGCTTCACTTACTTGGGAAGTACCATCAGCCCCAACGGGTTGATCTCCGACGAAATTTCAGCACGAATACAGAGGGCTAGGTTCGCATTCGCCAGTTTTCGCCGTCTCTGGCGTAGACGTGATATCCGACTATCGACCAAAGGGCGTGTGTACTGCTCAACAGTCCGCTCCGTCCTCCTTTACGGCTGTGAGACCTGGCCATTGAGGGCGGAAGACATGAAAAGATTAGCTGTCTCCGATCATAGGTGTCTGCGTTCTATCTCCCGCGTGAAGTGGTATGATAAGGTGAGCAATATTGAGGTTAGGCGTCGAGTGCTAGGTAAGGCGGGGAAATCAATCGACGAAACTGTGAAATTACTTCGACTGAGATGGTTAGGACATGTATTACGTATGCCTAGTCATCGCCTTCCTCGACAATGGGCAATGTTAGCTGATATAGGGCCAGGCTGGAAAAGAGCTAGCGGCGGTCAAACCAAAACATGGCACCGGTCAATGAAATCCACAACAGTTAGTCTAAGCCACGTAGGAAGATGTAGACTTCCTGGTTGGGGTCCTCAGGACGGTAAAAACCAATGGTTGGAAACAATTGG